GTCCCCCGATGAAAAACCTTGGTATGCTAGATCGAAAAATGGAAATAAATGTTTTCGTTGAATAATTTCAGCAATCTGCTGCCATTGTTCTTTAGTTGGATCACACCCCGTAGGATTGTGAGCACAGGCATGTAACAAGATGACACTTTTGGCAGGTGCGTCTTCTAAATCTTCTAGTAATCCAACAAAATCGATGTTGAAGGTTTTCTTATTCCAATATCGATATTCTCTAATTTCAAAACCAGCTCCTTTCAATATTGTTTCATGATTAGCTAAGGAAGAGAAACAAAATCCTCTCATACTAGTGTGTATAAACTAATCGCAAGTATAGAAGAACTATAATGTATAACTGGTAAAAACTAGAGCTAAACCAAATTCTACTCACGCCAAGTTGGACTTGATACATATGCAATCCGGAAACCTGTTTGAAAAAGAAAGTCAACACCAATTCGAAGACTTCCTGTACCACCCATTCCTTGCACGGAACATGCACGATGTTCCTTCCGGCATACAGAATCAACACCTAACACTAATGTCAAACCGCTTTCACAATAGGCTTCGAGACCGGTATGATTCAAATAAGCTTTAGTTTGGATTAATTCGTTCGACAACATGTCTTGAGCACGACGTATCACCGGTAGGATATCTGAGTTTCCATTTTCATCTCGGTATATACCAATGCCCAAGTTCACTTTCATCGGACTCGAATCTCTATTGAAAAGTTGCAATAAGTGCCAGTTTTCAATCGGAAGAGCAGTTTCCAAATCGTTGAAATTACTCATAACAGTTGCTTAATCTTAAATCGAAAATAGGTATAATCAGGCACCCGACTGCTTGGCGCACTCTGCACTGCGCAAAAAACTAGTTTTTTGTCCATAAACACTCTTTCCACTACGGACAAGTTAACAAAACATGTTATATTCACCCACTCCTTCATTTACAGTAGTGTAAGTAACGCCTCTAGCTGTATTCCGCTTCTGATAGTATACATATTAAAAAGAAATGTACTTTGAGGCATGAGAGACAAAGAAAAGATATTCAACATCATATTATTGCCACACATTTATCTTTTTCATCGCTTCCTCTTTTACATTTTATTAAGGTCACAGATTTTGACTGAAGTATCTCTCTTCATAGATCAAACATTTTCTTTTGTTAATGTTGTCATTTGATTCTGGGCATTTACAAATTACAATACGCATCGAATATTTCTCGTATATCAAAGTCAATTGTTTTGTTGAATGGCTGTTTGTACAAGCTTCATAGTCAAGCGACGACATTGGCTAAAGAAAATGTTTGATCTATGAAGCAAGATACTTCAGTTAAAGTCTGTGACCTGTATAGAATGTGATTAGGACCCTCAACCTTGAATGTATGTGCCACGAGGGGCGAAACACATAACAGT